TGATTACCAAATTCAAGTGTGCAAAATTGGTCAAGAAAAAAGAAAATTTTAAGCATTGACTGTTCCTTTTAGCAAATGGGTTTTTGTTCATTGGCTCCTCAAAAATCTTTGTACTTTGTCGGTTGTGGTGGCACACACCTGTAATCTCAGCACTCAGGAGGTTGAGGCAGGAGGATCACTGCAAGTTTGAGACCCTACAAAGCAAGCTCAAGGCCAGCGTGAACTGCATAGCGTGACCCTGTCTCAAAAAGACAAAAAAAAAAATCTTTGTACTTTTATATATATGCTTCATACGTCATTATTTTGTTCTTTCGAAATTTCTTTCCCATCTTCTCAAAGGCTGTTAAAATTCAAAGTCTAGTTCAAGTTCTCCCCTCTAAGAAGTGTTCTTTGATTCTGTCAAGTCAATATGGCCTCTCACCCTCTGAACCTCCTCGGCACTTGGAGTTTACTTTACCAAGTAGTAGTATCCTAGTTCCCACTACATGTATGTAAATTCTAAATTCCCAGGTAGTGGGCAAATTTCTTGCTAGCAGCCACTCTGTTTTACATAAACCCATATACTTTTCTGCTGTCTGACACTTCACCAGGCACATACTATATGCTCAAAAATGTGCTCATCTAATTTATGGATTTAAATGAAAATCATCAAAATAAAAGTGCTGGCTGGATTATTTTGTAGTAGATTAGGAAGCTAATGATTTTCTATAAACACAGCAAGTTTCTGGTAAGCACATAATTTAATTTCATAATTTAGTACCACTGACAAGCCATACTTCAGCTATATGATCTCTCTCTAGTCCAATATAAGTGTATAAAAATATTAGCAATAGATGACCCTAAGTGAACTGCACTTGTATCACTTCAAAGCCTCTTACATGTGAGTCCTAATTAAACATATATTGAACTAAATTGCTTTATTTGGTCTCATTTGGAAATACACTAAAATATCAAGATAATTAAAGTGAGAATTACTCAGATTACTAGAAAGTGATAATTATATAATTACATATAAAAATAATTCTCAAAGGCAAACTGTGTCTCAAGTGACTGCTAAAAGTTTAGTGTAGACAGCTTGAAGGCATAGTATTGCTTTTATTTTCATTGATTTAATTACAATTCCTCATAAAACAATTAGGACAATGAAATAACCACATAAAGACCAATCTTTTCTTCTTGATAAATTACTAATCAGCACTAGGAAAAACTACTCTAACGAGCTGTTACCAGTGTTCTAATGAGAATAAAGTAACTTAAGTGCCAGAGCAAGTTGCCTTATTAAATCCAGTTAATTACTTGGAAATTAAGTCTCAACGGAAAGAAAAAGACCTAGAGCATAGTTAAACCCCAGCAAAACAGATGCAGCAAGATAAATGGGGAATCTCTAGCTGCCTGGGCCTTCAGTAATGTCCCAGCCTCCTCAGCGAGTCCCGGAAGGAAAGAGCCGTCACCTGAGGATGTTGGGATGGGAGAGTCTGTTCATGAGCTGCACTTCCTTCAGCATGTTCGCCCGGTTACTGCTCAGCGTGTTCATCTTAAGCGCCATCACCTGACCGGAAGCTCGGTGGCGAACCTAGAAAATTAAATAGAAAAGAGGCTCAATCTTGAGGTCTATCCCGACTAGGGCTTCTCCTTCGGCTGCACATCGCTGGAAACGCCTCCGAGTAACACTGGTTTTGCCTCGCTCACAGTCTATTTCTTAGGCCTGTAAGACAGCAAGCCGTATGAAAGACCTAATATCTTTTTCTTTTAACTTTTGGTACCTGCATATCCTAGAGGCCTGTACTACTCTGAATAGCTTAGGAAATGAATGAATTCATGCATGTTTAGAGAAGGTGTCAGAGCAAGGAAGATCCACCTACCAAAAATGCTCCCAAAACGTAAATTGCTGGAAGAAATTGGATATAAGATCACAAGAGTTTTGAAGTTATTATCCACAGTTCAAGTGGAGATAGAAGAATTGTGGCACAGCAGATGGAATGACTGGGTTAAGCATCAGCTCTTTTAAAAAGGGCTACCTTGGGGCTGGGGATTTAGCTCAGCGGCAAAAGCGCCTGCCTGGCAAGCGCAAGGTCGTGAGTTTGGTTCCCGGTACCGGAGAAAAACCAAAAAAAATAAAAATAAAAATAAAAAGGGCTACCTTAAAGACAAAGAACCTCATTAAAATGACCTTGATGAGTACTAAAGAAATCACATGCGAAATGCCTTAAATAAAAATTTATTTAATTTAAAAAAAGAGGGTCAAGAGGAGCACGTACATATGAGGTCAAAGACTACACAGAGAACATGCCAAGGTGTGTTAGTATCAGGTTTTTAGATATTTTTTATTAGTAAACATTTGTGATACATAATGAATACACTCATTGTGTTAGTACCAGTTTAGATAATTACATTAGAGTCTTGTTTTCATTAATGAATTGATTCCATTCCAGACCAAAATTATTCCACATTGAGCAGGCCAGAAAAATGTTAATACCTTAAGAAATCATATCTTTTTTTTTTTTGAAGGGCAGAGGCAGTCACACAATTTTGTTCAGTACATTTCTTTCTACCCAAGACTGAATTTAAAAACCTCTGTAACATTTCTAGTTACAATAACAACACATTAATACCCTTTTTTATTTATTTATTTTTTTGAGACAGGATCTCACTATGTAGCCCAGACTGCCCTGGAACTTGCAGCAACCCTCCTACCTCAGCCTCCTGGAGTGCTGGGATTACAGGCGTGTGCTACCATGCCCAGTTAATACCTTTTTTTAAAACCTTGAAAAAACCAGGGAAAATTTTTGAACCTAACTTCTGACAACTGACATTGGCGAGTCAGGATACCAACAGGAAAAAGTCCCTAGGTAGAATTTTCAGAGCACACCAAAAGATATGCAAAAATCCTATATAATAGTTAATCAACTAAAAAACTCTCCTCATAAGACACTAAATTCACATACTTATAGCCTCCCCCAAGCACCATAAAAATGTATCCGTAAGATAAATGTAGGGCCATAGACATAGCTCAGAGGCACAGCACCTGCCTGGCAAGTGCAAGGTCCTGAGTTCAATTCCTGATACCAAAAAATAAATAAATAAATAAAAATCAATAAGGAGGCTGGGGGTGCAGCTCACTGGTAGGTGCGCTGCCCAGGCAGGGACCCAGCCCTGGGTCTAGTCTCCAACACCAAGAGCTCAGGAGAGAGGGGCACTCATGGTAAACACAGAAAGAAGTCACTGAACTATTTAGAGCTAATATTGCAGTAACCCAACCCAAAACACCTTATAATCATTTAAACACACTCAAGTTAGATACAACAAACATGACTACACCACTTACACTACTATCCTTATACACAAAGCAAAGTCTGCTTCCAAAGTTATTCACCCTTTACAGAATTCTATCTGTTTTCCATGTGTAAGCATTATTTTCTCATTTCAGACCACACTTTTACAGGTTTTGACAACTGTAATATAGCCGAGTGTGGCGGTGAATGACGGTAATCCCACTATTTAGGAGGCTGAGGCAGAAGGATCACGTGTTTGGGGCCAGCCTGGGCTACATAATGAGACCCTGTCTCAAAAAACAAAAAAAAAAAACAAAAAAAAAACAAAAAAACAGGCAAACAAGAAAACACTGTAACACTTTACTTGAATATTCACTGCTTTCACCCTCTAAACACTGTCAGTAGCAGCAAAATGAGACTGCCAGAGAAAATATTTTCTCTTACCCAAAAGAAGCTCAATCATTCACTGAGCATAAAGTCATAAAAGTCTCAAACACCTCAAAACTTTCTGATTTTAAAACCAATCACTTCAGATCTTATACAACGAGGACTTGTTATGCAAAATGTTATCATCCTATGAACTTGAGGTGTATAGTTTCCATGTTATACTTCACTGACTAAAAACTCCAGTAGAAAATGTGACAAGTTACTTAACTTTTCAACCTCCACTAACTCCTTGTAGTAACAGTAGCCCCTGAGGAGTTTAATATAACTAGTAGTGCAGGACAGACTTCACAGCCTATCGAGAGTGCTTCAGAGATGAAACACTCGGAGCCACAGTAGCCGTAAGCAGAAAAACCGAGGAAAGAGCTGGGCAAACACGCAGTGGTAGAGAGCTTGCCCGGCATGTGAGAGGCCCTGGGATGGATGCCACACATCACACCAAAAAAAAAAAGAAAAGCGAAAAAAGCAAAGCCAAAACAGAGCCTGACAGCCTCTCCTGGGTCAGTCGGTGAGATCTGGCACTGAACTCTCGCAGTGCACCAATGACCCTGTTGTCTCGGATCTCATGACTGACGAAAGAGAAGTGGCTGTCCTTGTCAGATCCTGCATGGATAAGTTAAAAGAAACACTGAGCTCCCTGACAGTATTTTTCCGATTCTACACAAGACATCTGTGTGTTAGGGCTCTCCATCTCTGAAAGTCACTTTTCCCCCCATCATCTGAAAACAAAAATGTTCACTCTTAAGTATATTAAAACAATGTGTAAAATTCAAAGAGAACCAATTTGCATTTCAAATCAATCAGAAAAAATGTCCATTTCCTGAAACAAAGGGGTAAGATGTTGAGTATGTTTACAACTCATTCTATTTTGTCCTTCACCTTCCTAAAATATTTCTATCCTTCTCTACAGCCGCACCCCACCCCCTGCTTAATTCTACTTACCTTTCTGCATTTTTTTTTCCTTTGGTCTTCTTGAGGCAGAGTCTCACTATGTAGATCAGGCTGGCCTTGAACTCATTTTGTAGCCCAGGCTGGCCTCAAACTCCCAGCAATCCTCCTGCCTCAGCCTCCCAAGTACTGGGATTATAAGCATGTGCCACCATGTCCAGCTCTACTTACCTTTCAAGCTGCATTCAAATATCCTCTCCTCTTTGAAGCCTTCCCTGACTTTCCCTAGACTATGTGTGACTCCTTTCTTTATACTATTACCTCAGGACTACATTCATAAAGCCAGTACAATGCTCATCATACAGCTGCATGCAAATATATCTTCTCACTGGGCTAAAAAGCACCATGAGACCAGGAGCTCAGCTGGATCCATCTTTCCCTTCCTGCGCCGGGGCCTGAGGTATTTCACAGCCACCATGGAAACAATGGTACAACAGTTACTTAATACTTCTAACATTAACTTCTACACACCAGGGAACCATTTATTTACCCATGTTTTCTTTTTTTGTTTTGTTTTGTTTTGTTTCCGGTACCATGGATCAAACTCACGACCTTGCACTTGCCAGGCAGGCGCTGTGCTGCTGAGCTAAATCCCCAGCCCCTTACCCATGTTTTCTTGCGGGAAGGATACCTTTCTTTTTCTGAATTTGTTAGCAAAGGTATGGGGAAGGATACAGAGAAAAAAATTCTAAAAGATCTATGTTTATAGCAGTATTATTTGTGACGGCCAAAAGGTAGAAGCAACTCAAGTGGGCTCTAACAGATGAATAAACAAAACATGGCACCACACAATATTATTTAGTGTTTCAAAGGCAGGAAATTCTGACACATGGATGAACTTTGAGAACATTATGCTGAGAGACAGAAGCACATTCCAGAAGGAGAAAGACTACATAGTTCCACATAGACGACATATTTAGTAAAAATTACAGAGACGGGAAGTAGAATGGTGGTGCCCATGGAATGAAGAGCTGTTTTGTGACGACAGTTTGGTTTTACATATGAAAATCATCTGGAAGTTGCTTATGCAACAATGTGAATATACTTAACTCCACTAACTGCATGTCAAATTGTTAAGATGGTACATTTTATGTTCTGTATATTTTAGCACAATTAAAAATAAACAGATGTAACAAAACCACCTTGGCTGGGGATGTTAGTCACAGTGGAGCTCGCTCGGCCTGCAAGAGGGCTTGGGTTTGGGGAAGGGAGAAGGAGGGAAGGGAAAAAGAGAAAAAAGCAGATGAGAAAGACAAAACCAACGAGAGAGGGTGAGAGTGAGACAGGGAGGGAGCGGGGAGGGAGCAGGGAGGAGTGTAGAAAAAAATCACTATGGTAGGAAAACGATTCCTTGGCTGTTTTTTCAGGTTTGTCCTTGCTTTGTTTTGTTTTTTGTTTTGTTTTGTCTTGGTGGGGGTGTTTGGGACTAAAGCCGGGGCCCTCTAGCGTACTAATCACACACTTTTTCCACTGAGCAACATCTCCAGCCCTCTTTGACTTTCAAGCTCATCTGACATCACCGCAGCATCTCCAAATCCAGGCTCTGAAGAAGAGCACAGCCTGACACCGAGGTCAAGGCTGAGTGGTGGACAAGGCCTGACAACGGCTGACGGGAAGCGTACTCTGTCTGAACCTTCTCACTGTGAACAACAGGGCAGACTCAAGTAGAATTCTTCCATAAGAGCTTTCCGAAAAATGAACGTACTTATAGTAGTAGTGGCCTGGGGAAGGAGACACTGTGAGACCTGCCAGTTCCATCCTTCATGTCTCAAAGAGGACAGATTGATAACCACTAGAATAGATGATCCCTAATTTTAAAATACTGACAGTCAGGGGTGGTGGTACACGCTTATGATCCCAGCACTCAGGCAGGAGGCAGGAGGAAGGGCTGCAAGTTCAAGGCCAGCCT